AAATACAATTATGTTGATATTTAGGTACAATGTAGCAGTAGGCAACATATATTAAGCTAGGAAATGGTCAAACATTCTTTAATTAGCCAGGCTTCTGATAAATTGGAGGTCTGATTCATGTGGCATTCTAGTGTTCGGCGTTGGACTGCTCAAATGCACGCTTACTTGCTAATCATTATGTAGCGTAATTATAGTTCCCTTATTGATCATAATAAAGGTTTTGTATTTCCCAATGAATGAAAAACAAAATGATATTGTTTTTACTGACGTTTCGCTATTTAATGCTAATAGCTTTATCAAAGTATTATTCAACCGGAATTTACAAAATCTCAGCATATACATAGCAAAGAGTTAGGAGGTGAGAAAATAGACTTAAGTCAAGTTAAAAGGACATATTGAAAGTCAAAATAACAAAGAAGATCACTAAACTAAATAACAAAGTTAATAGTACATCTGTTATGATATCAAAACAAAGTTTACTAACTTGATCATCGTTCGTTAGTTCGGGGTCATTTTTCGTTGTCAAGTTGGTCAATCGGTAAAGATAAAAAAAACCAAGTGTAGATTGTCGGGTTTGATCAGTGTTTAAAATTATAAAGGCAGTGTGTGTTTACATAGTGAACTTGCATATCCCATTCGTGTTGATTTTGTCACTTCATAGGGGAGGGAGGTGTTGTAACCAGGTCAGATTCTGTTTTACTTCATCATTCCTGTTCAGGCAATTCGGATTCCACTTGATATGAAGTGCTTCTGATATTAGACGTTCTTTGTGATTTCTGAAGTTTTTCTGGATTATTTCAATATTGTCAAAATCAATTTTGTGACCTGATTCTATAGCATGTAGACCTATTGCTGATTTTGTTCATCTCGCTTTTTTACATTTGCACTTATATCCAGAAAGATGGTAGATAAGTCACTCTGAAGCAGTTGGCGGTTGTGAATACATTTTATGATAGTTGGTTGAGCAACTCCGGTTCACTGACAGTTGAATTAACAAATATCTTCTTGTAGTTGCCACTTGTAACAGGATATTAACTAATTTATTAAACGTATATATGACAAGATTGGAAAATAAATGTCTGAATTGAAGTAGTTATTTGAAATGTTTCTAGAAACTTCACAAGTGTTAGAAGATGGAGAACGTAGTTATTAGATCTTAAGAAGTACTAAGTTTTGTTTATAGAATTCACCTCTCGGTATTTCCAATATGGGATTGCTCAAAATCTAGGCAGTCGCTCATAGTCAAGTTTCAAATTTATACATATGTATATTGGTTATGATTCTATATAAAGTGTTTAGAATCACTTCGATATGCCTTGCAAGCACTACTGGTTAACTATCAAGTGTTAGTTTAAATCGATTTGATTGGTTACAGGTTTGTTTGGAGAATTTCACCATGAGCTGACATCAGTTAGAGAACCATTGGAAAACCTGGTAGTACTGGACAGCCGCCTCGTCCTATTTTGGGACTCTTTGGTAGCATGCACCCACCGGGGTTCGAGCCCACAGCCTTCTGGTTACAAGGTGAGCTCGTAGACCATTAAGCCACTGTGACCCGATCCAATGGTTTGTTGATGGAGGTTTCTAACTACTTATATCACTGAATCAGTAGTATGTAGCGAAGTGTTAAATTAACTCTTAAGATTCTACCCAGAAAAATTGTTCTACAGACAGAATTCATTTAGTTAAGCAACACACAAAATTATAACTTGTGTAACAATATCAAGTGTATCCAATCTTGTTTTTGTGTGCATAACAAAATATGATGTTTTAAAAGAATGATTTCACTCATATAAAATTCATAACATAAATGAATTCTGACTAAAATTGTACAAAATTTTCAAATATCTAATGAAAATGATTGACGAATTGTCTGCATTGTCTCACTTGTTATATCGGTAAAAAAAACAACAATATCAAGTGTTTGGTTACAGTAATTCAACCATAGCTCGATCACTGTGTCTGAATTTCAATTTTCTGATAATAAATTCTTATGTGTTCGATTAGTTCCAGCCAAACCACCTTTTAAATTTAGTACGCTGCAAAAATTATCAATGTTTCTAGACAGATTATGTGGTCGTAAAGTGGTAAGAGAAAAGTTGATTTAATTGATAGTCCCACAGTGTGCATAGATACATACAAATCACAAGCATGTATATGCACAGTAGCAAGAATTCACATTTATCGTTATTATTATTATCATTATGAAAAGTTCCAAAACTTCCTATTTCGCAAATAATTGATACTACTTAGAACAGTGTGTCTGAAACCCAAAGAAAACTGATGTCACAGGTTTGACCACGTGTTAACATCAGTTAGAGAACTAACTAACAAGGGATGCGTATCATTATTGTCTATCTGTCTACGAGTTAATGACTTTCCACCTAATTGACTTCGTGATCAGTCTTGAAATCAATTAGATCTCTGCAAACCAACACTTGAAAATTAGTCTAGTGTTCACTACAGGATAAAGTTGTCTGAAGTCTTAATGGGAGGTCGTAGCCAGCAGGATTCACCCGGCTGGATATGAGGACAAATACTGGTCGACGAAATTGGCTGGTAGTCGTGCTAAATCAAGAATTGTCAGAAGTCAGAAATGGTGAGTCATTGGATTCCGTCCCACTGACTGAATAGTCAATGAGCTCGCCTTGTAAGCTGATAATCCCAGGGTTCAATATCTCGTGGGGTAATGGATGTCTACTGTTGAAGAGTCACGGAAAAGAGCAAAGCAGTTGGTTTCCAGTGATTCTCTAACTGTAGTTAGTTCGTGGTCAATCTTGAAATCAATCAAATTGCCGCACAGCGGCACCCTTCAGCGACCCTGTGGGGATAGAGTTCAGGACCTTCGGGCCAGGAGAATAGCTCGATGACGCTTTCTCCACTGAGACCGAACCTAAAAACCCACGAATCCTAACTTCTGTAAATTCGGAATATATAATGCCACCACCAGCCAATGTCACTGGCGAGCATAGAACTTGAAACTATCAAATTCTAGCAAACCAAACCTAGAAAATTGATCTAATACGCTCTAAAGATTGACTGCAAAATGAGGAGTTGTGACCGGTGTGTTCCATCAAATTGGGTGTGAGGACAGGTACTCACCGACGATATTAGCCCTTCCTCTTTATTCCTTTGTGTCCTGAGTGGATCATAGGGCCTGAAGCTTCAGCTTCGAAGGTCCCCTATCAGTGGCGTTATTTTTAAGGGGTAGGGTAGGTAGCGCCATGCCCAACCTTTCTTCTTTATCGGGCCTAATACTGGTTAAGCGAGGTCGGGGAGCGAATGGACAGAAGTTAGAGTGCATAGGACATGGCGTTCCATCCAAGTGGCTGGGTTCGATTCCCTGTGGAGTGATTTTTGGTTACTACTGAACAGTCCTATACTGGGACTAAGTGTTTATTCAGGACTCCCCGGGTTTCAATCATTCTCTAATTGATGTCAGTTTGTGGTCGAAGTTGAAACCAAGCACATCTCTGCGAATCAGCACTTGGATTATAAATCTCTTTAATAAGACTGTTTGGGAAATTTATTTTCAAAGTTGTACTACCTCAGTTGTTTGCAGTTTCCTTTTGTTGCCCCCTTCATATCTATCTCTTAATTACGGTGATAAATAAAATAAGCTATCATAACTGAGAGGAACAGTGAATATGTGCTACTACTACTACAGAAATACATTTATCAGCTGCTAACAATTTGTGATGTAAGACAAGAAAGTTCCTGATTTCCCTTCAGGTAACAGGATTTAGTTGCGTCAGTGGTTCAGTGGTGGAATGGTCACCAACTGCCCACGTGGTCCGGAGTTCAATTATGGGTCAACCCATCCTTAAGCATTGCCAAGTACACTAGTCAATTGGTTGGAGGATTTCATTATGAGCTGACATCAGTTACAAAACCGTTGGAAAACCTGGGAGTACTGGACAACTGTTTCGTTCTAGTCTGGGACTCTTCATCAGTATGCACCCACCGCCAGGGTTTGAACCCAGGGCCCTCTGGTTACAAGGCAAGATTGTAGACCATTAAGCCACTGGGACCCGATCCAATGTCCAGCCCATGAATTCTAACTTCTGCCAAACCATGAAATAGCGTGACCACTTCGCAATGTCTTCTTCAATGAGTTACTGCCTCACCTTCAATCTGCTATACCCTACTGGTCACGGCTTCCCACTAGAACCTCAGGTGACTGTATGAATAGGGCCATTCGCTAATGAGCATCAGATCGATTTTCAAGTATTGGTTATTTGTAGGGATTTTGTTTGATTGGTTACAGGATTTCGTCAATAGTCAATCATAAATCCGGATAAGAGGAAAAGTTGAACTTGAGGTTAGCAATCCTACTCAGTAAAACACAACATCATAATTGATGGAACTTCAAGACCTTAGGCCTGGATCCTTATGTCCTACTAGGAATGCAAAGGAAGAAAATGCCTGTTGTAGGAATTTACTAAATTCTAAGTAATAATTTCTTATTTCAGTAAATCTGTTTTGTTTCACTTAAACTCTACCTGAATATTTGTTTGTCAAGATGAACTATGAGCTTATCTCTGGTTGATATGTGTTCTCTTTTATCAGACTATTGACTACAGACTTACTTATGCGTGCATTAGACATAGTTAGTGATACACTCGAGCATTATATGATAAGAATCTGACATTTATTACACAGTCAGCTCCTAGAAACTAACAAGAAGTTAAAAATTATGCATTTATGTGAAAAATTAAAGGTATTCTGACGAGTGATTGTTAATTTCTTCGCTAATTCCTCCATCCTGATAGAGTATAATTTTTTTTCATCATTACTAAAGTATATAATGAAGGTGTACATCTAAATAAACAGATGCCTACATAAATTTAATGATAATAAAGTTTGGCTTATGGAGATATGAGAATTCTTTTTGTTTTGTTGCACTAATCTAATATTATTACAACTGTTTTAATAACTCATGATTAAGCAACTTATCAGTGTGTCACAATCGATGTGTTTTTTTTTAGCGAATAGAAGAATGATATTTACAACCAATCAGAATTGAGTAAGGATTTTACTTCATGAGAGTTCACTTGAAGCTGGTGTAACACATTCCAATGCATTCTTAGTTACACTTTCTATTGATAACTATCCAATGTTCCATTGAAAATCAACTATATGTGAGCCTCAAAGATTTCACCATATTGAAATTATTTAGTCCGTTTGTCATTTGCTCAATAATGCCTTCTACTTTTTAAATTATCAATACTCTAATACAGGAGAAAAAATAGTAACTAATGAATTTCCTTAAGTTGTCAAAAATGAAATTTATCAAAATAAAACCTGAAAAACTTCGAACTGCCTTTTATCATATATTATCTACATGTGTATTGTTATTCGCATGCCTTACTTTAATAATTTTACAAACAATATTTGCCTACTGTGTACCTAAAACCTCAGAACTAGCATGGCCATCAGTTTTAATTCCATTCGGTTATATTCCTGCAGCTTTACTAGTTCTAACAGCAATTTCAACTTTAATTGCTGGATTATCAGATTCAGAAATGTGGAGTACAATGAGTGTTGTTAGTTGTGTATTCCCATTGATAATGACAACAGCTGTTGCATGTACAACTTTACAACAATATGCAGATCGGTCTTTGTATAAATCAAGTATGCTGATTATGGGAATTGTTAATATAATAATTGCTATTTTATGTCTTACACACAGTATTCTATTATGCATTGATATACGTGATTATTTTCCAAAACAAAGACAAAGTGTTGAAAAACCTGAAGAAAATGAAGTGAATAATAAACCGAAATTAAATGTGAATGATGCGCTTAATACAGAAATGGCTAATCATCAAGGAGACGTAAGTGAACATATTAATAATTCTAATGGTTCAGTAAATCGTCCAAGACAAAATTGAAAATGATCTACTAGAAATCATTCATCTATCCAGTCTTTGATCAAGCCTACCTTCTTACTCTAGTAAAGAGGTAAATGAAGACACTTTATTTTCTTCTCTATTGACTGAATTTCTTCTTCTTTTAGCTTGTATTTTTAGACATAAGTCAATGATTATACTGCTCAACTACTTATAACCAACCGAATAAGAATTTCTCTGGTGTTGTTTTTTTCTAATTTATATATTCTATACTGAGTTGCCGCCGCCTCTCAAGATGCATTTAAGAAATTTTTATAGTAAAACAAGATAAATAATGTGAAGAATAAATTCTGTAAGTTATTGTGTAAATATGTAGACTTGAAAAAAATATATATGTATAATTTTTACACAACGTTACCTCAGTATTCATTATTAACTTACCAGTACTTTTATGAATGTATCTTAAATATTCAGACCTTGTATTCCATTCATAACGTCTTCATTCATTCATTAATTCATTATTTATCTAAAAATACATTAACAATGCGAAAGATATTCCCCTTCGTTTTTACTTTTTTTCAAAATTTTGTTCCTCTGAGTTCTCCGTGGAATTTAGGGCTTTGAAGTTTCATTAGCTGTAGTTTCCTTTTTTACGGAGTGGGGGACTGTTAGTGTCCCACCCCTTAACTTCCCTCTTCACTGGGCTTACTGTCGGTTAAGCGAGGTTTATGAGTGAATCGACAGGGGATCGATCCCCGGACCACATGCATGTGGTTTTGAATTCTGATTATACTTGTGGAGGCTATTTCATATAAATATATATGTAAATAATATTGGTTAGATGATGATCGAAAACGTGGAAATGTTTCCTTTTCCTTGTTTGCAGTATCTACAAAATCAAGATGAGATTTAACCTGGACAGATAAAGTTGTTTTCATTTAGACAATCAGTTGTTACATATTGATTTATTCAGTGTGATCTATGATCACTCTTCACTTCCCTTCGCCAGGTTTGGTAAAGGCCCGCAGAATACGGTTGAACCCGTTTAGTGTCGATACGAACTTGGATTTCATTAAAAAATATGAAAAGTTCCAGTGTGATGTGAACTAAGAACACATAAGCCAGCAGAAATAGTTCGCTTTATTGTAACTTATAATGAAAGAAGCTGTTAAATGCTAACTGATAAACCGCCTATGGCCCTTGTGGGGGGAGGGTTCAAACTTTACATATAAACCTTTAAATAACTGTACAGCTTCAGTGCGCAGTTACTCAGAGAGACAACTAACATATTCTAAAGTTACTGTTGTTTGCGCTTTCATTTGTTCAACTATGCAGTTTAATGTAGGTTAGTAAGTGACAACCAATATGTGTTATATTACTTTCCCATTTTTTCTGGAATTAAACGTAAAACTTGAGTCTGATCTTTAGATTTACATATTATTAACTTTACATTCATCACAAATGGTACTGAACTGCTTTTATTGCCCTTATTCATGAAATATTTTTCTCATATGTTCCCTTTGTTTAACGCATCATTATGAAATATTATCCATCCGTTGATAAAGCATAAAAATTATAATCTTAAATTACTATGACACTCCTATTATTTTTATTCCTTGCGTTACGAGTGGAACATAGAGCCTCAGCTGCACGTTTCCATTCCACTTAGTTTTCTTCCATCTCTGGTTCCAACTAGTTTCATGACTATCCACAAGCCTCCACTGCCTATTCAAATGATCATCTCCATATCACCCCGCCTAGTTTACTAACCAGTTTTTAAGTCCATAAAAGAGGGAAGGTTCGAATTAGGTCTGACAATCCCACACCGTAAAGAAACAACTTCAGTGCTACTGAAGCTTCAAAGAGCAGGAAAAACTAGTAAGCCAAGCACCAGGTAAAATTTCATTCCTCTCTTTTTTTGTATATCCATTTGTGTGAAACTGGACCACCACTGTTAGACATTTTTGACTACTTTCAAATGCATTCTGATAAGTTCAAGAATACTTTTAAATAGAGAAGTACGAGGTGACGAATCGTTGTCATAGTTATCCTCTATAAGGGTGATCATCACACGAAGGTTTAGGAATTATTTTGATAAAAGTAATTATTTGTAGATTGAAGAAAAGGATATGAAACATCTGCATATAATGGGATAGGACAATTTGTCGAAGTTATTACATTATAAGCTGAGAGAAATTCTGACACTAGAAATGTGACATAAAGCAGATTCAGAGAGCCTTTCTACAATATAACGTTTATGAAAACTGAGACGAAGAAGTAGAGAAATTATTCAATTCACTCATAATATGAATTTCATCAGTGGGAAAATTTTTTTTTTTCTAATCTAAAGTTTTAAAGCTAATGAGTTTGTAAGAATCTCTGTCATTTTAAATAAACTGCTATAGGTGAACTATCTGTATGGCAATTCTTATTTCCTTATAAGACGAAGTACCTTGGGTTTGCTGTTAGTGAAATCCAACAGATACTGTGCGTCGTTGGCACAGTGGTTAGGACTCTCGCCGACCATGCACGTGGTCCGGGATTCGATCCCCTGCCGACGCACCCCCGATATCTATGGTCGGCCTGCAAAATTTGGGCAACCGATATCCATGCTGAAAATTCCATACTTGTACTGAAAAGACGGTGTGGCATCAAGCTGTAATCAAAATAAAATAATTAAATAAATCATTAGATGAAAATGTCTGAAATAAATCTTCCAATTGAAATAAAAGTGCTTACTAAAATTTTCCTCCTTATGGGACATTCAGTCAGCCTGAAACAGACTTATGTTTCAAATTGTTTATTTCAGAGGAATAGCAGTTCTTCAAACATATATGTCTATGTCTGACTATTTTCCTGTTCAGGCAAACTTATTCACTCAATATGTAACAACAGAAGGCAAGGGTCAGGCAACAGATCATTTATTAAGGAAATCAACGCATATTTATATATTTTCATGTACATTACTATGGCTATTTAAGCAAACAAACACAGTCTTCCGATTGGTTGTTTCTCACGTAAAGTTAATCTTTCATCTATTTGTGACTGTTTCTTGAATGTCAAATCCTCTATATGTTAACTGCATCCGCCTACACAAAGTCTGCTGTGGTCGGTTTTGAATCAATCTTTGTTCACATTTTCTCACGACAAATCTTGGGAACGTAAATATTGATGTAAATTACTGTCTACCAATTTGGCTAGTAGACAGCTCTCACCTCAAATATACTTCACTTGAATTAAAACGACTGGGGAATACATTCCAAAAGTTACCGAGCGCTTAGATTCACTCCTTCCATGTACAATACCACTGAGTTCATTCCTCAGTTCATCTATTTAAAGAAACGTTTCAGTGAATCTATGTGAGGCTGTGTACGTTGATTGTTCAATGGTAGGATAGCTGAAGTCGTCTTAGAGAAAAGTAGTATCATGTTTCTGTCAGTAGACATGTTCTTGTATAGTTGGAATAAACAATTGTCTGTTCGAGACGTTGGTATTCAATACTATTTAGAACATCAATAAAATTCTTGCTCACTGTCCATTTTCATGTGTCTCACTGTGTATTGCTGGGATCACTCTTGTGGCTAAAAATGATAGTTTCCTGTATCCAACAGGTGGATTAACAACATCCACTGAAAGAATAGTTTTGTGGATGTTCACGAAATTTTTTTTTCCTTCACGTTCCCAGCGGAACATAAGGCTTCAAGCTAGTGGCTTGAAGTTTCTGTAGCAGTGTCTATTTTATAGGATGGAGTTGCTAGCCTCATGCCCAACCTTTCCTCTTCACTAGCAGTATTTCTGGCTTGGCGAGGTAAAGGAGTGCGCCGGGATCGATCCCCGGACCACGTGCATAGTCGGCGAGTGTCCTAACCGCTATGCCACCGACGCACACGAAATAGCAATACTTTATTAGTTGGTCACAAGGTGATTGTATTCCTAGTTTTACGGTAGAAAACAATATGTCGTTTTAAATGGAAAGTGCTCTACGTTTTTGATTACCGGAGCTGGTGAGCTTCAAGGTTCTGTAATTTTTCCAATTCTTTTATCTTTCTTTTTGCATAACCTACCGTATTCTTCCAAAGCTGATTTCGCTAAATATGTTAATGATATAATATTCTCTGTTCCAGGAGCTTTTGCATTGGATTCTTGTCTGAAGTTAACAAATGGTCTCACCTAAATGGTTTTAAACTAAATCCGTTTAAATGTCATATTGTTGGTTTTAGTTTCACATGCGAACAAGACTGATTCAGTTGCATGATTCCTGTAATATTGACGGCATTATGATAGGGAGTAAATCGAGTATCTCTTATCTCGGCATCAGTTTCTCTTCAAATCGCTGCTGGTCGTCTCATATCCTATTGATTTCTACAAAACGTTTCGTTTAATTTATTACATAAAGAAGTTGAGACTTTCTGCTAGCATAACTCAACCTCTTCTCTTACAATTTGTTAATGCATGTATTCTGCCCATTCTCCTTTACTGTTCGCCATTATTCTTCCCTGGACTTCTCAAAAAAGACTGTCATATTACGCAGAACACTGAAGATTGTAAGTAGGATTAGTGGTGTGCCCTTGACTCAACTAACTGACATTATTGTCAATAGGCACTTCATTTCTTGCAAGCATTTGGCTAAAGTTATCTTGCCCGATACAGAGCATCCTCTTTATTCTCAACTTTTGCCTGGTATATCTTCGGATAAAACCAGAAGAAATTTCATAAGAATTTATGCTCGTACAGCAAAATATAAAACTCAACTATACCATATTTAGCACAGGTTTTGTGTGAAAAGTCAGATGTCAGAAAAGAACTTATAAACTATTTAAACCGTTAAGTAAACAGCAAATTATAACACGATCTGTTACTACACATATCATTCACTTATAATTTCTTATGTTTCTCTAACTTTCAGTTTTTGTGGTTTTATTATTTCTACTATATTATATATTTATAAAAAGAGTTAAATTGTTGCACATATTGTACAAAAGCTTAAAAATTCCATTCTGTATAATTACTATCCTATTGGAATAAAGTGATTATTATTAAAGTTTCTCATAACCTTCTCTTTGTTTGAATGGCGTTTACCTTATTTGGTTATATGCAGCCGATTATCTTTGGTGTCCACTGTTGTACTTGATACTGATTTAATAATTGATTGTTTTATTGATATTGATGTTGAATAAACTACTTAGATTACAGGATTTCATCATGAGCTGACATTGGTTAGAGAACCACTGGAAAACCTGGAAGAACTGGACAGCTGTTTCGTCCTAGCTTGGGACTCTTCATCAGTACGCACCCGCCGGGGTTTGAAGTTAGAATTCATGGGCCATTGGATCGGGTTCCAGTGGCTTAATGGTCTAAGAGCTCGCCTTGTAACCAGGAGGTCCTGGGTTTGAGCCCTTATGGGTGCGTACTACTGAAGAGTCCCAAAGTAGGACGAAACAGCTGTCTAGTACTCCCAAGTTTT